TTACGGAATTATTCGATGGATTGGCTCACCGCCTGGTACAAGTCCTGGCAAATTGATAGCAGCTGTCGAGCTAGTAAGAAATGAATGTATTAAATATAAATAGACTGTTTTACATTTTATAAAAGAACAATAGAACAGATTAGAGCGTTGTGTTTCATTCATAGGATAATGGACATCCTTTAGGTACTGATGGAACTTACAAAGACGTCAGATATTTTCATTGTAGGCCTTACAGAGCTATATTCACAGACATTGAACACTGTTCTCATTATGAAAGTGTTAGTAGAGTGATTTATTACTTTTTCATTCAATATTAATTTACGTCATGTTTGTTAATTATGAAAATAAATTATGGAAACATTTGTCATAAATAGAAGCTCAACGAACGACCTGCACTTATAAATAATTTCGATAATTTCGGTAATATGGAAAGTTCTGTAATAACGGGTATAGTACGGCCTATCTCCGTCAAAGGAGACTTGGAAAGTATATGTGGGAAGTATCGTGGCATTCAAGGCCATCATAATTCCTGCTATTTGGACGCTACTCTTTTCAGCATGTTCACATTTACTAGCGTATTTGACAATCTTCTGTTTCGGTAATTAATTTTTCGATGTAATTGAATATATATTTGCTGATTAAAAAGATTATTTCTCTTCGAAAGGAAACATGGATTTTCTTACATAAATATAGTAAGTGTGGCTCTTATGAAAATTTTTATATAATGACTTTTTAGTCCACCGAATGAAAAAGATTGTCCACAATATGAAGAAGTGCAAAGGGTCTTGAGAGAGGAGATTGTAAACCCTTTGAGAAAAAATATGTTTGTCAGAGCGGATCGTGTAATGAAACTTAGGACGTTGCTTGAAAAACTATCATCAGTATCCGGTCTCACTAGCGAAGAAAAAGGTCTTTTATATTTCGAAATATTATGAGTTCTAATTGCTCTACTAATATAGTATAAGTTCTTAATATATTGTTATATTTAGATCCGGAGGAGTTCTTAACATCGCTAGTCGCCCAGATTTTGAATGCTGAACCATTCCTCAAATTAAGTTCTGGACAGGATGCCTATCATTACCAATTGTTTGTCGAAAAGGACGACCATTTAAATCTACCAACTGTGCAACAATTATTGGAGCAGAGTTTTCTAACTAGTAACATCAGATTGAAGGAAGTTCCTTCCTGTCTCATTATACAAATGCCACGCTTTGGAAAGTCATTTAAAATGTATCAGAAAATACAGCCTACATTATTGCTCGATGTGACAGATATTATTGAAGACTGTTAAGTATCGTTATATCGTACATCAAGTTGCAGAAATCACTTTTATTTTAAACAATTTGCAGTAATATTTATATGTTGTTTTGCAGCACCCAGACAATGCACAGTGTGTGGCAAATTGGCGGAATTTGAGTGCAAGGAATGTTATGGACAATGCGGCGTCGGCCTCGAAAGTATAGCTTTCTGTTTACAGTGCCTTGAAAAAGTTCGTAAAACATGAGATTGATATACATATAAACATAAGACATCAAAAAATAAATTATTTTGTGTATTTCTTTTAGGTACACCGTCATGAACGAAGAACAAATCACGAACCAAAGAAGCTAAACGTACCTATGGAGTTTACAATTCTGCAAGAACATTGTCCCGTACCGCGTCTATATTTGGAGCTATCCGCGGTGGTCTGCATCGAAACTTCGCACTATGTTTCATTTGTAAAATGTGGTCCAGGCTCGGAGGCTCCGTGGTGCTTTTTCGATTCCATGGCTGACAGAAAAGGTATTTCTCACTCATATTTATATAAATACGGATATAAAATCCCTTTGTATATTTTTATATCTTTTATCAATCGAATCATTTTATTGTTGAGAAGCTTTTAAATATTGAATTATTAAAAGACAATACAAAGATGTATAGGGCACATATAAGAGTCAACGTAATTAACGTAATTTTAAGTATAAATGTAAGAATTATAATATGATATATTAAATGTAAAAAAAAAACAATTCTATAAATAACACATTGTAAAACACATTACATTACATGTTCTCTTGAATTGAACCAGCCTCAGATAATACAAAATTCACAATCTTAAAATTCATTTCCATTCGTCATAGAAAAATCGTGATAAAAGTTTTCCAATTTATATAGTGATATTGATAAACAAAATTTGACATTATTCTTATCTAGTCCTTTTGTTAATCTATTAATTGCCTCTCAGATACTGATAGTCATCCTTACCGTTAACATATCTTTCAAAAAATTCTTTCATGAAGATTCGATCCCTACAAATTATCAAGTTTTAATACAGTAACTGTATTATATTATATTACTATCTGACTGATATAGTACCTCTTATATTTTATACAATTTTATAAATTTGACGATATATTACCTCTTATATTTTATACAATTTTATAAATTTGACGAATTCTTCTTAAGAAATGATAACTGCGATCACATTGGAGTATTTTATTGAGATGATGTTTTTACAGAATTTAAATAACATTTTAAAAGATTTTTTATTTTTATTTATTGGTTAATATATTTTTTTAATTAGAAATATATTTTTTTAATTAGAATATCATAAAATTCCAATCAGTAAATCGTTTGCAAGTTATGGTTTCCGTGAGGCATTCATCAATATCTCTATATTAATTGGAAAACTTTCATCACGATTTTTCTATGATGATGGAGATGAATTTTAAGATTGTGAATTTTGTATTATCTAAGCTCAATCCAAGAGCCGAAACATGTAATGTGTTTTACAATGTGTTATTTATAGAATTTTTTTTATACATTTAATATATCATATTATATTCTTACATGTATATTTAATTACGTCGATTCTTATGTGCTCTATACATCTTTGTATTGTCTTTTAAAAAACTAAGAGTTTTGTATTATTTGTTATTTGATTAAATTATTAAAATTGTGTTTTTTATTTAAGTGATTTTTATTTAAATGTAAAGTCTTTTATTGTTATTAGGAGAGCAAAATGGATATAATATACCGGAGATGGTGCCGTGTCCAGATTTTCCTTATTGGTTGAGTGAAGAAGGAGGGACTTACTTGACTGAATTAAAAGACGACCGTCATTTACCAGAACACGCGAAACGTCTACTTTGTGATGCATACATGTGCATGTATCAATCCCCAGATGTTATGATGTACAAATAACTTGAAAAACAACTCATAAATATAAAAGTCGACAGGAGAGACTATGGAGATCTCTATCGAAAACGAATTTCTATTCAATTATACTATAGCTAAAATGAAAAAAGAAAGAATCGCGCTGTAATTGCGATATTCTCGTAATCAGGAGAATTATATGCAATCCACTACAAAGCGAAACTTTTGGAAAAAAAAGGGTAAAATAAAAAATCGTTTTGATATTGACTCGATCTGAGAAAATCAGTTCAATCTTTCTTATAGAGAAACGGAATATTAACTCTTGAATTAGAAATCCATAAGGCCACAAGAAGAGGAAGACTCAAACTGTACTATAATGCAGTTGAGGTACAGATAACTTTATTATAATAATTAAGAAAATAGGTCAATAGCGAGCAAAAATATAAATACAGACAAGTAATTTATTAAGACATAAATATATTAATGAAAAGTTTTATTATAATATTTTGGGGCCCAAGTTGCTAAATTCGATTCAATCTGTAATGGAAATTTTGCAGTTTCGTAAGACATAAGCCAAAAAATCTCGTGGCAAAATGTTACTTCTATAAGACAAAATATGATTGAACACATTTATGTCTACATTGCGATAAAAAGCAGATAATCTCATTTAGTATAATATTTTTAAGAACATAAATGTAAAATATTTCTTCTTAGAAGCAAAATATGTTGTACATAAAATGCAACGAATAAATTCGGAGTTGACCCGTCACTCCTGTCGATTCTTAAGTAATGTTAATTCTAGCATTACTGTAAAAGTGCAATCTTTTGCTTTTAGCTTTCTGCAACGATGTAAGAAAACATAAATTTATTTAGATTATAGACTGAGACACTCCCAAAGTCTCAAAATTTATGTACAAAATAGGAATATATGTTTGTATGCAAGCAGATAATATACAGTTATAAAAAATAAAATTGACATTTATTTATTTGAAGATGCATTTGTCAGATTTGCATCATAAAAGAACTGATACTTCTTAATGAATTTTTTAACATGTTTTATTTAATAATATTCAGTTTCTTTTCAATTGGAATTTGCATATGTAACTTAATTACATCGCATGGAAGACTTATCTAGTTATGTTGTAATACTCATAATATTCATAATGATAATATTATCGAATAGGAGTGTACTTTTGTAATAATAATACACACAGTTATTAAAAAAATTGACAATATAGATACATTATTTCTTTGAGAATGGCAGATGCATCCATTAGATTTACATCATAACTCTAGTAAAAATTTTTCTAATTTTTATACGAATTGGAATTTATATGAATGAAACACTTCAGAAATAGTGAGAAAATTTATATCTTTTTTGTACCTTTCCTTAGAATTTTTTGTTTATGTAAATTCAGAAATATTCTAAGATTTTTCATTCTATAATTTTTGAAAAAAATATTTTTAATTCTTTCAGATTTTATAAGATTTTTTTTCCATCACAGAAATTATAAAATAAACAATCTTGAAAATTTTATAATGTTTCAAAATTGAAATACATGAAGAATTCTAGAAAAATCGTGAACTTTTTCGACACTTCTGCAAAATGTTCCAATTGATAAATTTGTAAAAGAAACTGACAAACTTTCTATAAAGTTATAAAATTATTCAGAAATTCTGAAAAATTTTGAAATGTACAAAAAATTTTAAAAATTACATTAAAAATTCTGAGAAAAATTTTCACCAAGTAAAAAACTTTTTAATGTAATCTTTAACATGTCCTAAGTATCTGAAAATTCTGTATTAACTATAGATGAACAACTCAAAATCAGCTGTTTGGTCAATTACAACTGGATCAAGTCAGATTAGGTTAGAATACAGCACGGCTTGCATTGTTTTCAGACCGAAAGCTTTTTCTGATTTAATTCACACTTTGACTGATAATGCTAGCGAGGCGACTGGTACTCACACGCGGTAAACAACTGTGCAAGCATTCAAGCTTTCTGGATGACGCACTCGCTCAGATAGCACGTAGTTACAGCATAGAGCATGAAAAACGACAACACGAGTGGCGAGAAAATGAGTTGAATTCGGTAATGCCCAAACCCGGAGATGACCCGGAGAAACCCAAGAAATTCGTCTGGTTTCCCACGGCCGCTCTCAAAGAGACTGACTTAGCCTTCGGTAATGTCTTAAAATGGTTTAAGCACAATAAGGTCGAATATATCAAATTAACTCAGGCATTCAATGCGATGAGGCACGATATATTAGGCGCCAATCTGGCCACCGCTCATTTTATCATTCATCGTGGCGGCCGGATCAGATTCAAGGGCAACACTTACTGGACAGAACAAAACAAGAAGGGCTCATACGAATTACCCAACAAATATGATCCATGCTACATCCTTGAGGCAGTGGACGTCAATGGATTTGATCTGTATTACGAAGGTCTAAGTAACTTATGTGGTCTTACGAAACTCAAGTGGCTCAGTCTTAAGGATTGTAAAAACATCAATGACTGGGGTTTAGACAAGATCTCAGGCGAATTTCCTGAACTGGAATATCTGGATATCTCCGGCTGTGAGAAGATCACTGAAAGAGGCCTGGAATCTCTGTACAGAATGATGAATTTGAAGAAATTGATTGTAACGAATTATAATAAGTCTGTCGCTTTTGAACTAAGTTGCTTCATGTTGGAGGATTGTATACCAGGATTGACTTGTGAAATTTTTATGCCTGGAGAAAAATCGAAAGACTAATACCGAATAAAAGATTAGAATCATAATGTAGCTTCTAACTAAAGGGAAAGATATTTATCTTTATTTACACAGTTTATTTTTTACATAATCTTAAGGAACTATAAATTATAGCGAATTCACTTGGATTACATTAAATTGTTACATTAAAAGCTGCTGTACATGAAATTAGCAAAGTTAAATAAATAAAAGTTAAATAAAGATTTGTAAATATTTTGCACAATTTAACATCGTCATGTTATTTGGTGAAATTTACATGTATCATTTCATTGTTAAATTGATTAGATTATGCTGTATTTAGATTACTTACATTACTATTACACTATCACTCAAAAGTATTTACTCACCTTGTCTTTTTTAATTAATAAAGAAGAATTTCAATCTTTTTTTCCAATTTTCTAGATTTAATAACAATATTTGGTTCAGAATTTTGTATTATATATAGATATCTGTATAAAGAGAAAATAATAAAATTAGAATTTAGACGTATAAAAAAAGAAATATAAAAAATCAAGATGAGTAAATATTTTTAAATGGTATAATGCATATTATTTATATTATTTTAAAGTAGTCTTTGTATACTGATCCAATGTAGTGACCTAATTCACTATTACAAATGTCAAGTGGAATTCTATAGTATAAATAATAATTTATACAGAAACACTGCTAACTTTTTATCAATTTATTCTTTTCCCTACGTCTCTTTATAAAATGTAATTCCACCTTATTAGTAATACCATAAGCTTTAATATTTTCGTTATCATTAGAAAGTCTAATGTCTCCAAAGCAAAGATGATATTTTTTCCAGACATGCTTCCAACTTATCTTTTTCTTGACGTTTTCTCTTTTTAAAGACAAATTTGTGTGTCTCTTAATGGCCTTTTTTAAATCAAGCACTATTGTGTTATGTGGAGGTACCTGAAATAAAATGAAAAGTGTATTATTGAAGCGATAAATATAATTAATTTCTTTGCATTATGAAACATAAGAATAACAAATTATTACCACCACTGCGAGCTTTGGCAATTCTCCGCGATTTAAGAATAAAGTTATGGCTTGTCCTTGCGCAACTGCGATCTGTGATTTAAGTTCTTCTATCGTGACATCGGAAGGTAGTCCAGAGAGCAACGGTTCATGCTCAACAAGACTGTCTATAGTTGCCTTGGTTAGTTTCACTAATTCCTGATGACTGAGTCGTGTGGTGTCAGATTTCAATTCAATTTTGATGCACGATTCTTCTTCATCTTTCATCGCACATTTGAATTTTGTATCTTTAACACTATCCATGTTGTCATTTCTATTTGGAATATTAACCTAAGCAGATTTGTAACGTAAGAACTATATATTCATAAAATTCTTGCATTATTGGAATTATATGCAAATATTAATCTCTAAAGTTGTTCTTTTTTTATTTCTCTATGTGTTTCCATACAAATATTTTAGAATTATTTCGGATTTTCAATTATAAGCGCAATCCCAGTTGATTCTCATTCAAAAAAATGTTGAGAATCAAAAAAAGAAATTCTACTTTCTAGAGACAAATTATTGGCTAATTTGTTAAAAATAACACTTTTTTAGTTTTGGGGCATATTTCTTAGCGAATTTTAGGGCAATTTTCATTAAATAATTATCAATATGCTTCAAAACTATTTTAAAAAGGTGTTTTTAATAAATTAGCCAATAATAATAATAATCTAATCAACAAAAACGTACAAATGTAGCACCCGAAGATTACTATCCTTTCATAAAAGAGGCAAGCAACCTAAATTTAAATGGCAGTTTTCCGAAATTCCCTAGAAACGTCCTAAGGACGAGGGACGAGACAGGTGGATTTAGCGAAGATTTCCGTAAATAAGTTGAATTTTAGATTAGAATGCAAAACATTTCACATCGTCAATGTCGTGCGCACAGACACGGTGTCGCTACGCCATTCCGCGATCTCACCCTGGTTTAATGATTTGAACAAATTTAAATTAATTTAAGCACTTTTACACTCAGAGCTGATTTTACTGTTAACCTTTATCGCGTAATCTGCAGTTGGATTTCTTGGACGAAGAACAGACGAACGAAAAGTCAGTCAGATTCTCCGCACTGGATGTCACTGATTTCCGCAATGGATGAGAACGCGGATCGACTGAGTAAATACACGAAGCATTCGCTAAAAACTGCGCCTAAGTCAAATGTAAGACACAAATTTGGAAACGATAATGCGTTAAAAGTGACTTGAACCAAACTCCGATTGATGAGTGATACCCGTAGTTTGTTAAGATATAGAATTATTAATTTTCGTATTAATTAGATGATTATGAAAATTCGAAATGAACTATATTATTAGAAATTTCTGTAACTATTTTTATGATTTAATTAATCTATTGAATTAATTGGAATTTGATCACAGTCACTCAGAATCACATTGTGATTTACAAACGTAATAATTATATGTATTGTAGAAATTTAGTTAAATATTTCATTCGAATAATTTTACTAAACTGAACATATTTAATTATGAATATTTGATTTGATTATAAAAGTTTACAAGATTATATTTTAAATATTAACAGGTTCTGGAATGTCGAGTTTGCGAGGAAGTTTTCACAGTGGACGGTGTGAAAGTGCCACGTTTGTTGCACTGTGGACACACAGTGTGCCATTCGTGCTTACTGCGGTTGAGGACTTGTATGTCGGAGCAGCAGTTTTTGCTATGTCCCTTTGATCGACAACCTACCGCCATTCACGAGAACAGCATCTATAGTCTGAAGAAGAACTTTGCGCTTATCGAACTGCTTGAACGACTGGAGCAGTCCAACAGCCAGAAAACACTGGTATTGGAGCGTGAGAGGCTTCAGTCGAATTTATCGTGCGACGAGGACGAAGCACATACTGCAGTTCTTTACTGTACTGTCTGTGCCACGCACCTGTGTGAAGCTTGCGACACTATCACACATTCGTCCAAAACCCTGGGCAAACATAGACGCGTGCCGCTGTCGGAGAAGCCACGTGAGAAGCCTCGCTGTCCAATACACACAGCGGATGTGGCCGAATTCACTTGTACTCAGGAAGGTTGTCACAATTCCTTGATGTGCTACCTATGCAAAGAATATGGCAAACATAGTACGCACAAGGTAATATCATCTGTAATTATACAGAAGTTGATTATCTCTGTATTCAGATTTATTATTAGAATGCCAATTATTAGAATGTTTTGTGAACATTATAGTCCATTTCATTAGGATGAGAAAGCAGTCTCTCTATATATCTTAACATTCTAATGACACATCTGGATAAAAATACACACTGAGATAAAAATTCATAAAATGCAGCTCCTATATAGAAAAAATCCTTAAAAGCATCATTTGTAATTTTCTTCTTTATATACCGATATATTTCAATATCTTATCTATGTTTTAAATTTAAATTTTAGCCGGTATTGGTCGAGGAAGAAGCCGAAAATATCAGGAAATCCATTATCGCGGCATTGCAGAAGATGACGCAGTTTATGGAAAGCATGAGAGATACCGCACATAAAATAGGTATTTATCTTTTTTTCTTCAAAAATTGTATTTAATGTTAACAATTTAGAAAAAAGAACGTGACAAAAATAATTTTGTAATAAAAATTGTTTAAGAGATCTCAATATTTTTAAACGTTTCTCTAATTTGTATTTCATCATTTCAGTTATTCTCAATTTATGTTTTTATATTTTCAGAAATAGTAATTGAAGAATTGGAAGGCTGGGCGATCGAAGACGCGAGGAGGAGGGTGCGATATCATTTCGAGGAATTACGTGCTGTTTTGACTGAACAAGAAAAAACAGCGATGGCGTACATCGAGACGGAAACTCGCGGTAGACTTTGCGCATTGAGACAACAACAGAAAGATCTCACGTCTACGAGATCACAAGTGGCCGGTGTATGCATCCAATGCGAAAGCATACTCGATTCCGAGGACTGGAAGTTGCTGAGTAGCTCGGAAAAAGTCAAGGAAGTGCTGGCGACATTGGAGCAACAGCAGCAACATTATGCGCAATTAGGACCGGATTTTCTCAGTCCTGAATCCTCCATTCCCATTATATTTAGTAGGGTTCGTAAGATAATTTTCATTATGAATATATTAATTATATAATATCTTAATTGTTGTTTTTCAATTATAAAATTAATTTTGAATAACTAATTTACAGCGATATCATAAAGCAATTATAATAAACTTATATATTAATCTTTGTTTTTCTAAGCATTTTAAATACTTTAATTTTTTTTAATGAAATAATCAGTAATATTAAATTAGATGATTTTTTTAAATGTTTATCTTTTTAATATAGTTAATAAATTTTTTTTCAATTCATTTTATAATAGGATAACAGAATACATATTGGAACAAAGATCGATATGCGCGTAGTAATCCTAGGACTGGATGGTGCGGGAAAGACAAGTATTTTATCTGCTATGCGAGGTGTCACGCTGCCAAATCCACCGATTCCCACTATCGGCTTCAACGTTGAAAGTCTGGAGTACATGAATCTCGTATTTACTCTCTGGGATGTTAGCGGTCATCAGAAGTTTCGACCACTGTGGAAGCATTACTATCATAATACACAAGCTGTTATTTTCGTGGTTGATGCTAGCGATAGATCTCGCTTCGAAGAGGCACGAAAAGAATTATCAAAAATACTTTATGAACGAGAACTGAAGGATGCTCTACTTTTAATATATGCTAATAAACAGGTAAATGTAACCCATCTTTAAAATGTTTATATAAGATAAATGTAATTATATTAAGCAAAATAACAAAAGTTTTAAATATTGAGCTTCTAATGTACCATTCTAAATAAATTCGTCTTACTAAATTTTTATAAACAACGAATATATTTATATATCATTAAAAGTTTAATATTTAAAATTTTTTATCATTTTGTCTAATAATTGCCCAATTAATTAATTCATTTATTTTAGATATTGCATAAATTCCAAGCAAATTCATATTTTTACAGGACGTTCCTGGTTGTGCGAGTGTAGAGGAATTAGTCGATATACTTGGCTTGCATAAACTTTGTTGTGCGAGAATATGGCATATTCAAGGCTCATCGTTAGTTACCAATGCCAGTGGTACGTTGCAAGGTCTTGACTGGCTTTCGACGCAATGTGTATAAATTTTTTTCTTTATAAAATTATTTATGTATGGAAAAAGCCGAAGACACATGTAACGCTAATTAATTGTGATTTCCACGTTAAGATGGTACGAAGCAGACTGAAGTTAGATAGGTAGATAGATATCATGCAAGATAAATATTTGTACGTACAGTCGACGTTGAAAATGATTTGTTTTCTAGCTGTTCCCATAAAATAAACTCGAATATCGCACGTATTCAGAGAATTATATTAATAATATCTCAGTCACACAACACATTTCGACGTCGATCATACTTTATACAATCATTTTTTTTTTATTTATAATATAAATCTTTTTTTTTTTATTCGCTCAATAAGTATGGATGTCAACGTGTGAATGATGAATCTACTATCGCAGATCTCCCCTTTATTATATAACTCGTTAATCCACGAGATAAATCTATTCTGTTAAGTCACGCTATACCCCAAAAAAGAAAAAAGTAATTCGTAAGTCACGACATAATCACTTCGGAGAAAAATGATGTCAGTTTATTTTCCGATATAAAAATGGAATTACAAGATTAATTATACTCGAACATGATACAATAAAAGCATGTATATGCATGTATGTACATATACAATTGGAAAAAATTTGCACAATCGATTCGTACACATTATTACAAATGATGAAAATGGATCGGCAACAGGATTGGGTTTCGCGTTCGATCAAGGTGAGAGCTTGAGACCTCACGAAAATAAACGCCTGAGCACATCTAGAAAAGTCTTATTTATTTTATTACATGATTATTGGATTGCCTCTGATACATAATCATACCAATTGTAATCACTCAGTCACATTTGCATACATCTATCATTCTTACGTTTTGCCTTTTTTTTTAATAATTGGAGCGATTTTCTTTTCTTTTGAATTACGCGTACATTGTACGGAAATTGAAATAATGTATATATTATATATAATATAGCATCGTGTTATTTAAATTACATCTCAATTACCTTTTAATGTATATAAAAACACTTGACAAACAAAAACGGAACAACTTAGAGTCTTTTGTGGAGCTGCGCCGATGGTGGACACGGGCTAGACGACTCTCTTGTTTCTTTCTTCTCTACACTTCTTCTTTTGTATCTTCTATTTTCTAATATCTGTTCTTTCCGTATTCCAGCACACACTTTGCAGAAATGTAGATCACTTGAGCTAAGCGTGTAATTCAAGACAATAAATTCACTCGAATACAAAATTTTTTGGATGGCTAAGAATGTTTTAGGCGCTGTGATACCAAGGCCAAAAACACTAGCAAAATCGGGCGAGATTTTTAGTTTAAAAGCTTAAAACGGAATTCAATATGATGTTCTTGTGGACAATACGATGAGCGACGTAATCAACAAGGGTATTATCCTGCTCTCTTGCTATTGTGTATTTTTAGATTAAAATTTTGTGCCTGTGGGAGAATTTAGTGCGTGTCGCGACCACGTAGCTCCTGGAATACAGTCTGTGTTTGTGTCCACACGCGACACATTTATTTACAATTCGTCATGCGCCTGCAAAATAAACAAGAAACAAAGCAGTTAACATCATTGATCGATAAAATCGAAAGAATCTATTGGAATGTTTAAACTCAGAAACGAGGAATTCCAATTTTTTCTCATCAGTAGAAATCAGAGAAAATATGAACATCATGCGC